ATTTTGGTGTTAAAGTATAATTGTTAAATTTTTTCTGTATTTCAAATAATATTATTATATTTTGAACTGTATTTTATAATAAATTGTAGTTGGTAGGGACAATTAATTATTATTATTATTATTATTATTATTATTTTTATCATATTAAAATTATTAAAAAAAACTAATTTTTACATATTCTCGTAGGCTTTCTACTAATGCGTCGCAGACTTCTGTTATTAGTTTGAAAATTACTTGTTTAGACACTGTACACAGATACATGATACTATAAAAAGAGTCACTTGCAGTTCAAAATCTAAGAGTTATAGTTACTCATTCTTTCATTGGCATTGAAGCCCTGAAGTTGGTATCTTGTTTACATACTTTATGACCAACTAAATTAATTAAAACTTCGAAATTCATAAAAAAAAAATTTAAAACTCTCGCTGCAATGAAGTTTACCGGATAAGGAATCATCACATCCTAAATTATCTAAAAGATTACTACCACTATATTTTTTTCTTTTCAGTAATGAAGGACGATCGTCTTTTTCGATTTATTTTTATTTAAATTTAAAATGACGCATGCTACTGTTGCCATAATAATGTCATCATAAGTCGCCATGATGTCAACGCCTAATTAATATAACAAAACATTTTAATTTGAAGTGAACGTACATGTTATATAACATTTGTTATATAAAACATATACTTTGTTGGATGTTAAACGTTATATTTTGTTATATAACATTTGTACATAGGTGTAGATGCGGTATAAATGTTTTTATATTCTTAAAAATATTTATATTTTTTTTTGTGTTAATTAAAAAAAAAATTATAATTTTACATAGCTTAATTATAAAATTTCTACGAATTTTAAACAGGTTGGAAAAACCTTATTTTTTCTTGGAAATATTAAAAATTGTATAAATTAATTAATATAAATAGTATGTTAATGAAATTAAAAATAAATACTAAATTTATTTTTATAGATTAACTAAACTCTTACTGCCGATGAACGAGTGAATAATTTTTATTAATATTTCTACTACGCATATGGATAATAAGTTGTTTATCAATAAATATATTTTACAACCAAACTATGACGTATATATTATTGGATGATATTGTAAATTCATTCAAAATTTAACTTAATAATTGAAAATATTTTTTCTTTTCTTTGTTCCTAGAGTCAAATTCTTATTTCGTTATTTTAAGTTATAGTTTTTAAAATGTATTCTTGCTTGCCATTGTTCTTATAAATTAATGTGTAAAAATTATTAAACAAGTTTCACTACGTACTGCGTTAATCCAAAGAACACCATCTGTGTACACAACAAAATAAATAATTAAGCAATATAAAAATTAAGTTAATGGAGTAAAAAATCTAGATTATGGAGGTATTTTTACATTTTGCACTACATACATTTTGTTTTACAAATATTTTTTGAACTACTCTCGATTTAATTCAGAAAACTTTTATAGTTATCTATAAAAATATATCTGTTTGTAGAGCTTCGCCTATGATTTAAAAATTAATTCAATTCTTGATGATTTAGATAAACCATCAATTTTTGATGGTTGAACATTAAACATGGCATTTCTTAACTTCAAAATCATAAAATTTTTAGAGTCCTAATTTCATCTGATTAAGTTTTCAAAACGCATATAAATTATTTTTAACTTATTCAAAAGTGAAACTCCTTATCTAAGTGATATTTTTTCAATTTTATTTGTTATTTGATGATTATTAACTGTTAATAATTTTTAATTTTTAATCAAATTTCTTATTATTTTATTATTTAAAAACCATCAATTACCATGTCGAAGTATAAATTATATGGTTCAACAGTACTTATGAAACTTACCATTTACACCTACCGTTTTGTATACAAGTAAATACACATATAATATTAGCATCACGTACGTAAAATCAAAATCCATTGACACATTATATTTACATTATTTTAGCTTTGATTTCATCGCGTCCCCGCGGCAGTGTGTCACATATAATAACGATGTGAAATGTTGAAACGATTGAAATGATTTTTGATGCAAACGACATTTTTTCCGAACAAATTTTGGCATTTTTTTACATGTCGTCGCGTACCGGGCTGTGGACGCGATACGTTTTTCATGCACTCGAGCGGAAAATGTAAATGATCACTAACTACATCATCAATATGCTATACAAATTACAAACAATCGACCGGTGATAAATTACGCATAATGTGGCCTGTCATCGCCCGAGCGTACGCGACGACTGCATTTTTATGCTCCGGGGACGATTATGTACGACGATCGTTCGCATTTTACACATAATATACACATAATACTATTATTTTTCTTCTTTTTTTTTCGACTCCGTTCCATCACGTTTGTCGTTTGAAAAATAATTTCCCGCTTTTCGATATATAAGCCTTGGGCTTTGATAAGTTCTCACGTTAAACATACCGAATGAACGGGTTGTATATGTATTTTCCTACACGATTAAAAATATACCGGTAAGTTCTTGCACAAACAAGAGCACATTTATAAGAATTTATAACTTTTAAGAAAAATAGTACCGAATAACTATGTAATGTTTTTGAGTTTTCATAACAGTCCAAATACAATTGAATTATTTAATAAAATTGTAGGCTATTCATTGTAATAGTACATAGAATGAATTCAATTAGAATTGAATTAGACATTTTAGACGTTATTTATGTGACATCAAATCAAACACATTTTAGCACCAACTACACTCAATTTGTTAGTATCGAGTAGAAAGGAATATTGTCTGCTTTATAACTGTTATTTACGTAAGAGTTTATGGTACATGTCGCTGATATGTTATTTTTTCGTTTAGGAACATACGTGCAGAAATATTATTTTTTCATCTGGGATACGTATCATTGAATGGTTTTTACCTGTTACGCCTTGGGTGGAAACTTACGTTCACCCGATGGTATAACAGAAAAATCTTTAAAAATTAAATTTCTTCTTTTTTTTTTTTATTCATCGAGCATCAAACAATTGTTGTTTTACATATAAACACGACCGATGACGATGTTATTATTATTATTATTCGAGAACATAAAGTATCGTGCGGGAACACGATGCGAAACTGGGGCGGATCACACCGCGAAAAAGTAATAGATCGTAACATTATCATAATTAATTCATTATTAATCTAACTCGGCTACCACACACGCGCAAACGATTACGTTGCAACGTGTCCATTGTTTGTGTCCGTTCGTACCGTTCGCCAAGAGAGACCACTCGGTCAAAAATATTGCGTCGTACTTGATTTACGATCCCGCAATAACAGCAGTGGTTCAATTGATACGTTCTTTTCGCCCCCCCCCCCCAAGAAATAATAACTTTTAAAATATGCGCAATCGATCGTGTACCGCCCGACGGAATTTCGATCACGCGTACACGACCAAACCGAACCGTTTGTCGGGCGCGTATTGTCCAGTAAAAGCGAAACAAACCATCCCGACGTGCAGCAGATTTCTCGCACATCGTTTTTTTTTTTTTTGCTTAAATCCGAAATCCCGTTCGTGTACACCAGCGATTCCCAAACTTTTTTTTCCGCGGTGCCTTGCTGCAAACAACATTATGGAACAAAACCTATTGATAATCAATTTTATTAATTTTATTAAAATTGAACTAAATTAATGGCATTTTAAAGCTTAAAAATAAATAAATAAACAAAATTATTGTTTTTATGATTATAATTATATGGTTAATGTAATGATATTAAATAATATTAATAATAATCCTCAGAAAATGCACGGGTAGTAGCTGTTACCCATTCGTTTTTTTCTACGTGTAACCGGATGATAATTATACGATAAAGGTAGATTGCTGAAATTCATTTGCATTGAAATGTATTTGCATTACACATACTCTGTTTTTCGTAGTGCACCGAACTGTTCTCGCGTCCGAGATGGAACACCGAATGTGCGCCCTGGAGGTGTGGACTTATTGTGCTGTAATATTAAAAAAAAAAATACCAATATAGGCTTTAAATGTCAGATTCAAATATAATGAGTGAACATCGTTTTGGTTGTTTTAAACGTCTATAGCATTATATCGTGCGATTTTATTTGTGGAAATCTTTCACCTTATAATGGGATCCGATGATATTTCATGTTAACACGCGTATTTTTCCATTTCTTAGGTACAATATTCGTGAAACTTGGATCACATGAATAAACGAACGCTATCGTATTTATAAATTGTACGTAAATGTTTTCGTATTATGACTTTCTTGTTATGCCATAATACATTCAAAATTAAAACTTCATGATGAATAAATATGCCGAGGAATATTGTACGGTGTTTTTAAAAGGTATATTTAGAATTAACGAATGCACTTAATGTAGTTATCTGTTAGCATTCGAAAAATGCTGCTTTAAAACGATTTGGTGTTCAAGTGACTGAAATATTCAGTACATGATTTTTAAACAACTATAACTCTAACAAATTTTTAAAGAAAAAAAATCTTAAATATTTTTGATATTTATTGTTTTTTCAAAAACCGAGGATCTGAAAATTATACACTAACGTTTTGTGTTCGAATCTATCGGGAGTAAAATAGACTTATATAAAACCTTATATAATCTAATGAATTTCCTTTCTTTAAGAAATATATTACAAAATATCGTTTCCTCGAAGAATAAAACATAAAAAAATATGGAGACTAAGTTTTTTTTTTGTAAAATTAAAAACCACGCAAAAAATATTTATAATAAAATACATAAATTACGTTGTTATTGCAAAAACGATTAACTATAAAATGGGATCATAAAAAATAAATGCTACTCAGATAGTTTGTATAATAATAATAATGTTCAAGATACACTTTAAATCAAATATTATCTCTGATGGTTAATCACATGACTAAAATAATAAATTGATCATCTCAATATTACGTATGTTAATTAATAATATCATTCGTGAAACAATATTACTTCAATCTCTACTCGTATTACAATTTGTAATACGTAAAATTGTTTATTTTTTTTTCAGGAAATTTACAACGAGAAACATCAAAATGCCCATGTTTGTGAAAAATTTAACACTTAAAGGTAAGTTACATCCAATATTTGTTTTTGATAGACAACAAAAAATATTAATCACCTATTATATTATTTTAATATCAATCACTTTGGTCGCTTTTTTTAGCCACAATTTCTTAAATATAATATTTTGAATTATGAATTTGACATATTTATGAAAGGCGAAATTTTGAAAAATCCATATAATTTAGTACTCTAAAGTATATTTACAAATTTCATAAAGCAATATATGTAAGCGAACCAAAACTAATATTCTGTTTATACTATCCCCTATTTTTAAATAGAATGAAGTTACAGTACTAAAATTAGAAGATCAAAGTAATTCGTAGCATAATTGAAAATTACACAAATATTTTTAAATGTCGTTCACGCACAATTAAAACGAATAGTAAATATAAACCATAATTATATCATATGCCTACACAATTTAAATATGAATATAGGTTGATACAATGAGCGAATACTAGTTGCATACAAGTCAAAAATATCAATGATTTTTATACAAATTGTCCGTAAATGGTACCCTAAATTTTATCGAAAACGAAAAGGGTCTAGTATTAGATGTCTCCTAATGAGTAGATAATAAATGTTTAAGTTGTTTTAAACATTTTCAAACTTCATAAAATGTTTGTAATTTTGAAGTCGTAATTTATGACTTTTGTTATATTTGATATTTAATACGATTATACCTATACGACTTAACTTTAAGTTAATATACTCTTTTGTGTAATGATAATATATAATTCAAACCAGATCTGAGCCAGACTATAACAAATAATACACGTTATCGTAAGTGATCAAGTATAGTTTAGTTGAATTTCAACAATCGTTCTCGTAGTACGATTTTAATTTTTAAAAATTATTAAGCAATTTAAAATTGTTGAATTAGTTTATAAAATTTTAAGTGAAAAGGGCAAATGTGTTAAAATTATTAAAGATTTTAAATTTAATTTTTAAAAGAAATTATTTTTCAACAAAGAACGGTGAAACTATACAACAAATATGTAGAACTTTTTTAAAATTAAATGAAAATGGCAAAGTAATTATTGATAGAAAGTAAGTTGAATCATAATAATCCATAACCACTTGGATTAGCTTCTCAATATTCTAAATAACTATAATTGTATAGAGATGTTATATATTTATGAACTACTACTTGATTCTTTGTGAGAGTCAACTAGTGTGAAAATTCTTGAGAGTTAACTCGTATATAATTATGAGCCATGTGGTCACCGGAGCAACTAATATAATATACTAATATTACGCTTTTTATTTACGATAAGGATGAGAGACAATTCGTATATTTTGGGGAGAAACTAATATGCACCGGATAAATTAACCAACTAAATAAAATAGTTATACGTACAACTACCAGTTGAAACATAAAATTAACATAATCATGTAGCCATCAATAAAATGTAACAAACCTAATTAATTTTAAATATATATAACATCAAAATTTGATTAGTTAATTTAACTCTCTGTGCCATGGTTATTACTTTAAGTCCTAATATATATGGACAATTTTTTTTTTTTTTATATAACCTTAAGGCATTTAACACTTAGTTAGAATATCCACATTTATAACCAATTTGAAAAATTAATTAAGATTGTAAAATTTATTTTTATTTAACAGCTCACTAAACTAAATTTTACTTTTAATACATACAAGAATAATAATAGTAAACGTTTTAGTAAGAAAAATTAATAATTAAAATGATAACAATTTTAAATAACTATTTATTTTATAGAATTAATTTTTTTAAAAACATAAACAGATTAACTTTCAAATTGCATACAATTTATAATGTTTATTATTATTGTTGATTTAAATATATTAAGAGAGAATTAATGGAATAATTTATTCGGTGAAAAGTACTTTTCTGATAACAGAACCGGATTATGTTGAACAATTATATTTTTCGGTAAATTAAAAACCATGCATAAGATCCAGTTACTCAAACTCAAAATATCTAATTAATTTAAAATGTTTTATGTTGCTGTTGATACATATTATATTATTTTCCTTTTCCATGTTTAGAATTCAAAACACGATGACGATTGGAATTAGATAACATGCAGCATTGTTTCAAATCGTAAAAATATAAGTGAATAAATATATCAAAACAGCTATGATCTCTTTAGTATTTACATGACGACTAATTAAAGCTGTACATCTATCATAGATTGTATAACTAATACCTAAAGGTTTTCGTTTGAATTATCAGTCAAAGCAAAAATATTTCCTTCATTTAGTTAAAAGAATAAAAATAATTTATGACAAGCCCACCTACTTCAGATAATTCTTAATGCTTTCACGTAGGTTCATATTTATTGTTATACAAGTTTGAAAAAATTACCATTGAAAATCATCAGTGAATCATTAGAATACGATATTTTAGAGTGAATAATTGGTGGGTTTTGCCCGATTCCGCCCAGCAACTTTATCATTGTTTGAGCAGATTACTTGACGTTGTTTGTAATATTACGTTTTCTATGAACCTTTCTCTCCGTTCGATGACGCGTATTAATATGATAGTAAACGACATATTTTGTGCGTATATATATATATATATATATATGTGTGTGTGTGTGTGTGTGTGTGTGTGTCATGTATAATATGTCCTACCGTACTGTTTTCAATCTTATAGAGTTCTGGATTAACTGATAGGAAAAAAAAGAAAAAAGAACAATATGTTTTCCCCTATTTCTCCGGATCATTCGTGTATGAAATACAACACTAAATCGAGTGAAAAATAAAAAATTAATAACAAAAGGAAGGAGATCAAAGAGTACGAGAATTCCTTCAGTTATGAAGAGTCGTGCAGTTGAATATAAATATCCAAATACTATGCGTATTTGCGTTTACCGCGTGATCAGTATGGGATTCTTACTTCACGATCGGCATAAACTCTATAGTAATAGTATCTATAGGTTTGAATATACGTACAAATGCTTTTATAATTTTCAATCGAATGTGATTTCGCGGTTGGCACGCAAATAAAAAATAAATAATTATGAATGAAATATTATCCAATATAATCGACTACGTGCACTTTTACGCAATTTAATATAACTAGGTTCCCTAACCCCATTATAAACGTAATGAAATGAAATAATAATATCTAATAATATGGCGATGACGACAATAACCAATGAAAAAAAAATTTTAATCAAATATGAACAGCAAACATTTATTTCTTACCTTTCCGTAAGCGCAATATTCAGTTATTTGTTTAAACGCGCAATTTCGTTTTAAATTTTTCGGTGGACTTTGATCTCGAATAAATTATTTACTCCTTCGATCGCCGTCTACGGTACTTGGTTCCATGAACATAATGCATCTGATTTGTCTGTTGAACACATAAAAAATCGTGTACTGCCTACGCGTTCCTTTGAGATTCATAACGCTATCTAAACGTGTTGATACCTCACGGAGTCTGCACGACCGATATTCGTTATCTGGATACGACGCGTCGATTACGTTGTGACGTAAAGAAAAAGAAAATTCAATTTAAGGCTAGTTGCCGACGGGCAGTTTTCAGTCGCGCATCAGTTTTATCGCATAAGTGATACACGACAATGATCTCACGTGCAACTAATTGGTTTGACTAACTAATTCAGTTTGCGTTTTGTCACGGAGCATTTGATTGCGCGATTACATCATACGTGTTGTAGTGTAACAGGATAGTTAGGTTTCATATGTAAGTATGCGGTTATTATTGAACTTTTTTGCCCGTCACCGACCGGTCTAACGCTTCGCCGAACATCTGACGTATATATGCGCGGGGTATTTTACGTGAAACTTGCTAATGTTGGTCACGAGACGACTGTGCGCGATTCGAAACGGATTGGCGGGATAAAAGTCACACGGATAATTGATTTCGCACGAGTTAGCTTAATTGTAGAACTTAAAGCAATCGTCGGTTTCATCGCCGACACAGTACGCTCACACCATACTTTGGAGACTATCGTACGGCACCGTGGATTTCTAACACGATTTTTCCGTTCAGCCCACCCGCCCCACCGCGTACAAAAGGTCTTAAAACCGATGTCTGTGATATATGAGCCGGCGTCCATGACTTGTACGTGTATATTCCTGAAAAGGAAGTTCGCATGGTTCGTCATCAACAAGTTGTCAGCCAAACTTTTATCGTCGGCTATATTGCCGTTGTGTTCTTCACTAATCCACAGTTAGTGGTCCGATGTTTTCAACTCCTGCACAATTTCAATGTTTTAAACGATTTAGAAAGAGCTTTAGAAAAAGCCGCGCTCGATTTCAAGAATATATGCGTACAGATGAACACCATATTACGAACGTTGAAATGATACTTTTAACATTTGTACATGATCTCAATGGCATTATACATTTAGATAAGCGTATTTTTTGTTTTTTTTTTTTTACACCTGTAGTACTCTTAATAATAATTTTTTTAATGCGTAACGAATAATATGAATGACTTAATATTTTTCATTATTCTTGTAGCCTTTTTTGACGTTTCAAATATATGAATGCTACGGTACCTTTTTATTGCGTTTGAACCGGTGCCGAGTGGATCATTACTGTTACGATTACTTCCATCCGACTACCGTCGTTTATTGGTAAAAATAAATTAATGATACAAATTACATTTACAAAAACCAATACATATTATTGGGGCTTCTAACCCGCTTATTTTCAATCTTGGGCCTACGTTCAAATATACTAAAATACCTACAATAAGCTAAAACACATAAGATTTTAACAAATGAACACTTACGCGTAGTCACAATTCAGTTAATGTTTATTAATTAGAAGAGAACATACGAGGAACTCAATTAAAACTAAAATCTAACCTCTAATGTGTTGCCTGTATCAGTTGCTTTCGGTAACAACGTCACCTTAAGGTGCGTCCACACAATGGCGCTGAATGTAATTTGACATGGCTGTTGGCAAACGCACTTGCAATATTATTGACGCATAGGTGTTGGCATTTAGACATTCGAATGCTGTTTACACGAAAACAAAT